CGTACCGCAAAAAAAAAAAAAAGGAAAGTTCTGTCAGTATTTTGAGACTAACCCGCATTGATCACTCATGGCTGGCTTCCTTCCTTTTCCCTAAATCTTCCCCACCAGCTTTCTTTTCACGCTCCCATCTATCTAAAGTAAGCACGGGTATGGTACCCATGGGGCTTAACAAGTGTAAATGTCAAACAATGATTCTGTAAACAGGGATAGATTAACACCATCTTATGGACCAGGTTTTGAAACAGAGTTGACCAGTGGAAGACACTTTGTTTTGGTCCCAAGGAGATAAATCTGGGAAACACCCTAAAGGCATTCAGCTAAGAGCTAAGTTCCTACTAAAAAGTCAATCTCTGGCTAAAACTGTCAGAGCATTCTGGCCTTCATTTGGTGAGGAATTCATGTCATAGTAGGAGGGGTTCCAGTTGGGAATCCAAAAGTTAGAAATCAAACTTTACACACACGTATTCATACGAGCACACACAGGTCCACACATCAGGATGCAAAGGGGGCCAAGGCCAGGGTCCTGGCCACCTGCCCCCAGCCCCGCCCAGGCTGAGGGGACTGAGAGTCAAGCAAGTCAAACACTCCGACTGGCATCACATCAAGTTCGGGGTTTACTAACAACTTCCACTTTAAAGTTCATTTTTGGGGGGTTTCAAAAAACACATGGAAATACAACTACTCAACTAGAAGATGTGATTGACATAGTGTTTTATAGGAAAAGTGTTTTGTATGGGGGACTGACTGCACTGTGAACACAGTTCTTAAAAAGGACAAGGGCTGAAGTCTCAAAAATATATACCAATATATCAATGGAGATAATGTTACAACAAACAACTGAAGGTCATGAAGGTCACGGCCCAGAAAGTGATAAACCTGAGGGGGAACAGATCTGGAAACTGGGACTGTCTGTGGTAGCATTTCTACTGAAAGGTATTGCTTACAAGGACAAAACAGGCCAGGAATGTTTGTGACCTAAGGCTCCAGCTAACTGATAATAGGCGGCTCCTCTTCATCTCTCCTCCCCCTCCCCCAACAACAAACACCCTCCCAGGAACTGGGAAGGAAAACTAAATTGGGAGGGAGGAGAGCACCGCTCAGTGTCCAAGCCTCCAGCCCGGCGCGGGCACACACTTCACTTACGGGCCGGGTGGTCTGGGTTTGGGTGAGGCGCTGTTTGTGCAAGCGCCTGGGCTGGTGAGGGTGGCCCCGGGCTGGGTGCAGAAGGTGGGGCCCACAGGCCTGGTGGGAAAGAGTGTGTGATCCCCAGACGCCGCCTGGACCCACCAGCCAGCTTCGTTACTGCTCAGCTTCTCTGCAAAGCCCCCGTCACCGGCGCGGGGCCCACCCCGTCCCCACGTCCCCACCCCGTCCCTGCCCCGTGCGTGGCCCGCGGGGACCATGTGGGCTGAGATGGGGCTGCCTTTTTAGGTGACGGCCCTGGGGCCCTAATCCAAACCTCTGTCCTGATGGGAGTTTGCCCCGATGATGAAAGTGACACAGGACACACACAACTCACACGTATCACCTTGCTATTTTAAGAATGTACTTTATACAAAATAACCAGTTCATATGGAAATAAATCTACAGACCTCCAAGGATCAAAAAGCTTTTGAAAAAGTTCTTTTAAAAAATTATCCAACACACAGTATAGAACTAACTATTGAGGTAAGTGTGGCTCTCAGTGAAACAGGGAATCAGCAGACCAGACAAAATATACACAATATAAAAATAAATAGCATTCCCCTTTCCAGTACTGGCCAGGAAAGCCCACGGGCTTCTGCAGCAGGGGAGCCGGGCAAGAGCCCCAGCTGGGGAGAGGGGCAGCGTTCAGTAACTCACTCCCGAACCCACCTACCCTTTTCAAAACCACAGGTCAGCTAGCTGGTTTGAGGCGTTTCTACATCAGCCCCCAGGGCAGAACGAGGGAGAGACCAGTGGGCAGGCAGCCCGCGGACAGACTGCTCGGCAAGGGCCTGCAAAGCAGTGGGGATGAAGAGCGGCCAGCCTCAAGCGAGACGACGCAGGGCAGGGGAGGCCCGTGTCCCAGCAGAGTCCAGTCACGGGCTCAGCCCCTGGCTGGGGACCCCGCACCCCAGCAGCCGCAGCCCGACGCCCCAACTCCCACACGACCCGATTTCTGAGGTGGGCATCCCAGTCCTTCCGCTGGACTCTGAACGCCCTGGATGCCGCCGTTCTGTGACGGTCCCTGCCTCGGGGCGACTGGGTTAGGGTTTCACGGGAAATTTCAAACCAGGACTTGAGAGCAGTGTGTAGCTGTAGATAGGAACTTTCTTTAAAAAGTGAGAAAAAAGCTCAGCCCAGGTGACGCTGGCTGTCCTGGACAGCACGCAGCCCACTCCCGGACCCGGCAGAAACTAAGACAAGTGATGACCCAGCAGATAACTCGCGCGACAGAGACCTGTACGCCCAGTCACGAGAACGCTGCCAGGCTCTGTGGGCCAGGCTGGCTGAGGGCCGAAGGCTTTCAAGCAACATGTAAGTTTTCCTGTTCAGAGGCACCCAGGGCCCCAGGTAGGGCGTCCTGCTGATAACAGGCCAGTGTGTCCCCCACCCCTACCCCCTGCAAGGGAGAGGGTGCAGCAGCTTTAGTTTCACTTTTAAAAGGTGGCATGAGAAAAGTGTTACGAACAGGATCCTGTGTGTCTGTCCTTACTTAGTCTTCTTATGTTTTTACTGTAATAAATTTTAGCCAAGAGCTAATTTTAAATGGACAGACTCTGAGGGGAAAAAACCCCAAGCCAGACACCTTCCAAAAGGCTCTACTTTTCTCTCTGGATCTTTTATTTCCCTGGGTCCTGGGAAGACAGTTTCTAACCAAGGTCAGCGGTGGACGTGAAGTCCTCCTGGCCCCTGACAGGCGGCAGTAGCCCCAGGGGAAGGTCCCTCTGGGACCTCCTCCCAAGCCACGTTCCAGCTGGGAGGAGCGCAAGGGCCCGGCCGGGGACGGCCCTACTGGCCAAGGGACGCAGCCGGCTCACCACAGTAACCACGTGGGGCTCCACTCCCTCCGCACCCCCTCAGTGTCCACTCACCCAGAAGGGAGGCTCCTGTCCTGTCCACAGCTCCTTGGGCAGCGGGTGATGGGGGAGGGGCTGCGGCGGGGGGAGCAGAGCAACCCAAGGCTCCGAGGCCCCCAGGCGGAAGGGAGAGGGTGGAATCGCTGTGGTCCCTCCTGGTCCTGCCCTGGGCTGGTTCGGCTCAAGGCAGGGGTGCCCACAGCCTCGCATCCAAAGCAGCTTCAAGGCCGGCGGGGAGAAGGCTCTGGGCCGAGACCAGCTACACAAAGCTGCGGTCTCCCCTCCCAGCTGGCGCACAGACACGCGGGGAAGCACAGTGTCCTGGGCACGGTCCTTCACAGCTCGGGGGCCAACCTGGACCTGCCCGCAACCCTACCCCATCCTTCCCAAGGGGCGACGCTGACCTCCCCACCCCGAACCACATCACGCCCGTGACAGCGTTCTAACAAGAACCAGGATCCAATGAGAACACAGCCCCCAAACTCACTCCATCTAAAAGCACGCCACATTTTAGTCTGGTAAGGAAAAATTCGTGTTTCTGTGCAGCGTGTCTGGGAGGCGTCCGTATTCCCAGCGCTCAACCTGCCCAAGCCTCGTGCGCCCCGCAGGTCAGCATCCACGCGTTTGGAGCTGGTGCCTGGGTTCCACGTGGACAACAGGGATGTTTCCAACTTGTTTCTTTTCCTGCTGAAAGCGCAGGTTTATTCCAGCTTCATCAAGGACGCTAGGACTGGAGGCAAGGTTTTCCCGGCCTCTCACACAGCTGAATTTATAAGAAACAAGTGCAAATCAACCAACCAATGTTTTATAGAAGCTTTTCTACTAACCCAAAGGCATGCTTGAAAAATACACTATTCTTTACAGAAACCTGTTAACTTGAGGGCATCGTCCTTAGTTGTTTTTTTTTCTTTTTTCCTTTGTGGGATATTCGAAAGTTTAAAACATATGAGTCCTAACTTTGGTGGCATCTCAGCTAAAATCAAAGAATGCTAAACAGGGAGAATCCAGTGTCGTTGGCTTCTAAAACTGTAATAAAGTAACTTAATACTGTAAAACTGTTTTCTATCACAGACAAACAAGTGACTTCAAGAACTTGCTCTTGATAGCTATTTTAAATCACCATGACTTATTTTACTATGATTCACATAAAATGAATAAAAACTATATATACTGAAATATTCCTAAATTCAAGCTGTAAATCTATAGAATACATTTTCCTATTAAAAACTGTGCAGCTTCTTTATTGATACTAAACATATACAAACCTGAGTAGTCACTGCCACAAACTGGGATTCGTGCCAGGAAGCTTGTGGCGTCTTCTAGACCACAGTCCCGGCAGGCCTGTGATGGGGACAGGTCACCTCACTTTCTAACGAGCAAATGCTCCTGATACTGGTTCACAACTACCTGGCGGGGCAGCTGGCCAACCAGGAGGGGCGCCACTGTGTTGGATCAGGACCTGGGCGCCAAGCCAGGGGGCTGCCCCTCAGGCTGACAGGAAGAGCCCGTTAGAGGAAACACGGCAGCCTTGCCTGCTCTCTCCTCCAGCTCCCAAATGTGAGTGGGTCAGGGCTGTAAACAGAGGAGGGTCAGCAGGGCTGCAGGCCCACCAGCCAGACTCCATCCCCACCACCCGCCCTGCAGGCTTTATGTACAATACATTCACCACCAACGACAGAAATCATCTTAAAGGCAACATGAAAACTCTGTAAACTGGACCCAGCTCCAAACACATCCAACACGAGTAGTCCCTTCCCCAAACGTATACCTGAGTGCAGCTGCCATGACAGCCCACCAGCACCGCCCCCCCAGGTCAGGATGATCTTCCCTGAACAAGAGTCTCAGGGTCTGGAAAAGCCACCAGAGTCCAGCCCATCTGGTCTCCACTCTCGCCCAGGACCTCGCGAGCAGGTGCGATGGTGAGGAGGGGCGTCCAGGCTCTGGGACGCACGAAGTGATGCCAATGACGGGAGAGGTGGGTGGGGCTGCGCCCCCCTCCTCCCCATTCTCCACCCTCGTCATATGCAGCTTTCTGTTTCCCTGGGGCTTGTTTCCTCCTTGGACTAGCTCTGAGGGAAGCAAAATAAAGACAATTTAAACAAAATTAACGTGTTAACTGTTAAAAACAATTAAGCTCAAGCACTCCTCTCCATCTGGGGAAACAGCCTGATCTGGCTTCGTCAGCCAGTTCTGCTGGAGTGAGGGCTCTGAATCCTGGACCGCCCGACTCACAGCTCAGCCCTGTAGCGGCCAAGGACTCCTGCCTCCAGGGAGGCCGGGTCGGGGCAGGGGAGAGAGAGCCGGCACGGGCACCTCAAGGCATGGCGCGCAGCACTGTGGACCAGCCTCTCCCAGATGAAGTAGGTGGGGAGGGTAAAACAGACAAGGGATCGTATCCAAGAAATGCTGGCAGCCAGTCTGGGAAAAGGGAGTTTAAATAATCCCCAAACAGCTGGTGCCGTAAGAACAGGAATAAGGGACTCGCCAGTACGGGAGGGAAGCTGCTTCCGAGGCCCCGTCAGCTGGAGTGCTTGGGCCGGGCCCTCCCCGGCTGCCCACAGGACACAAAGCCCTTTCTGGGGACAGTCCCTGCATCGACAGCAACAAACTCAAGTCCTTACTTCCTGCCACCTGGAAGAATGAGAAGACCTCTGATATTTCATCATTCTGACCTGATCGAGAGGAAGTGTTGGGGGCTTATGTGGTGGCAGCCCCTCCTGTGGCGCTGCTGGTGCCGGCGTCTTTGGGAACGAGGGCCGGGACTGGGCCGGGTGCATCTGCAGTCTAGAGACGTAAGTAAGGAACGGTTAAGAATGAGCGAAGACAGACTCAGTGCAAAGGAAAAAACCTTTAATTGTGAAAAGTCTCACACAGACCCTGCCTTGACTACCCAGGAGATCAACACTGCACACTGACACAGGTGCTTCCAAGTGTGGCGGGTGAGAGATGCCTGACACCACCTGTGCAGGACTCCTGACAAAGGTGTGCAATGTGACTCTGAACATGAGAAAACAACGAGAAGAATCCAGGGTCTGGGGCACTCTGACAGCAGAAGTGGCCTCCGGACTTTGAAAAACAAAGAAAGCAAAGCCAACGTTGTAAATTAAGACACTACACAGGCACAGCAACCGAACGTAGATCCATGAACCTTGAATGAATCCTGAATGGGGAAAAAAATCAAAAAGAAGCAGAGCTACAAGGACACTCTGCGGACAACTGAAGAAATCCAATAAGGCCTCCATCAGACCAGCTGACGCTACTTCCTTTGCTGGGGTAATGGCCTGGGGCTGTGCTCCAGGAGGACAGAGACAAAGATAAGACAAGAAACATAACAGGTATTCAGGGAGGCATAAAGCAAATGCGGAAAGGTCTTCTGAGGCTGGCCCTGGGACACTCGGGTTCTTAAGGTGGATGGTGCTGGTTTTATGGTGAGGCTTTTTCAAGACATTTGACTTGAAAACTTCCTGGATGACAGATTACCCGGGTGGGTCTATCAGAATTCTCATGGGGACAGTAATGTAACTTGCCCTAGTTCTGGATAAACCTAGTTTTTTCATTCAGTGTTAAAGGAAGAAATGAGAGGCAAGGAGTAAGCCTGGGACACCACCTGTGACCGCCCACCCCAGGTCTGAGACCCCTTCACCCAGGTGAGAGCCTCTGCCTACAGCTCCCAAACGCTGGCCATCAGGTGTCCAAAATCTAACTGAATGGTCACTTAAATGCCAATTCACTTTCACAAGGGAAAAAACCACCACAGACAAAACCGGACTCCAAAGCTAGCACCTTCCCAGTAAGTCCCCAGCACCCACAACCCACACGCTCTTCCCGCGCCCACACCACGCACACCACCTTCATTACCAAGGCCGTTTTTCTTTGTTAAAACTACCATCTACTCTTTTTTTCCCGAGAAAACAGCCCTCTGTGCAGCCTTACCCGGACGGTCTGTACATCTCCTGGAAAGGCACCCTCACCCCACTTCCAGGGCCCATCTGTTCCATCATCACAGCCTGGAAGTGGCCCAGGCCCTCTTCTGGATAGCGGTAGAGGGGGCACTCGGGGGACAGGCCATTGGGCTGGGCCACCACTGGGCGGTGAGGTGGGTGAGCAGCCGTGGGGGAGGAGTAAGCCCTGGGCTGGAAATGCCCGGCCGGCCGCTGCGGCGGGTAAGGAGGCCCCGCGTGCAGCATCACCCCGTGCGGGGGGCAAGCAGACGAACCGAAGCCCACCCCCGAGCTCAGCGGTGCAGGGGGCGTTCCGTAGAGATACTCGCTGGCTGACAGTGAACTCTGCCGCTTGGTAGCTGCATTGTGGTTGTCCAGATCTAAAAATTCTTTGGGACTCTCTGGCCTCTCCATAGACTCATCCTGCTTCTCCTCTGGGCCGGGATTCTGCCCATCAGCTGTCTTGGCGACCACGGCGTCCACCCGCGCGGGGGAACTTAAGGCAGTGCTCAGTGCCTCGCAGCCCTGCAGCCCGGCCCCAACGCTCTTATCGACGAAGAGGGGCCTGGCAGGGGCAGGCTGAGCCGGCGGGGGCCCGCTCGGGCTTCCCGGGGCAGGGAGGTGTCTCTGCCAGTCTGAAAAGCCCTGTGGACACGAGTAATAAGGAGTCCGCGGGTAGTGATGGTAGGAAGGCTGAGGTGGCGGCTGGTAGGGGTACCTCATTCCCTGGTGGGGGCGGTACCGGGGGAAGACTCCAGAATGAGGGTCGTGGGACGGAAACGCCCGAGGGGGAAAAGGCTGAGGGTGCGGGGCTGAGGGCTTGCCCCCCATCACGGGGCCCACAGCCTGCAGGCCTGGGCCGACATGGTACCGTGCGGTGGAGCTGGGGTACTCCAGGCCAGGCGCATACAGGGGGGCGCACGTGGGCTCGGCGGGTGGCATGGCCTCTGGTGGCGCTCTGCCCTTGCCCTCGGACCCACACGGGGAGGCTTCCACCCTCAGTCCGTTTTCAGGCAGTGCCCCCGGGTCAGCTAGGGCGCACCCCTGGGCGGCTGGGCCTGCGAAGCCGCTCCCCGAGAGCCAGGCGCCCCTGCCCGCGCTCACTGGGCAGCTGTCTCCAGGCTCCGAGGACTCGTGCCTGAGCTCTGGGCCATCCGAATCCCTTCCCTGGGGCGAGCTCCGCCTGGTACAGTCGGCCTGCAGTGAGGGCGCGGGGTGAGGTAGCTGCTTGAGGAACGCCCCCTCCAAAGCACCAACACTGGCTGGTTTCTCCTCGAGCCCAGGCAAGGGATCTGCTGCAAGAAAAACGGAGACAAAGTTGCACCTCGGGAGCTGAAACCTCAGCATATGATAGGCAGTCAGACAATGTGGACGTGGGGCCCCGGTGGTGACACCCTGATTCCCCCAACCCAGACCAGGGCTAAGGCTCTGCAGCTCCTGCAAGATCTGCCAGCGGCCTCGCAATCCCTTCTGCACTAGCAAGGGGGTGCAATCCGTGTGCCCGACTCCAAGGACATGTGAAACATGGACGGAGGGTGCGCTGGCGCTGGAACTGCAGGCCTGGTTGGGAGGCTGTGGCCTGACAGTGAGAAAGAGGGACCCGGCATGAGGACACCAGGAATGCCGGAACCCGACCTCTGCCGTCAGGACACCTGCCCCAAGGGAGTAGGGACCAGGTTCTGTTCCCCACCACACACTCAGTCATTCACACAAAACGGGGCTCAATCAGTATTTGCTGAATGGATGAAAATACACGTCTTGTCTGGACATCTTGAAAACAGGACGCCAACAGTGTTAACACTCAAAAGGCATCTTCAGCATGTTACAGAAATTTAATAAACAACCAAACTAAATTACTAGACTCAAATGCTTAATTACAAACTCAGAATTCTTTTCCTTGCTATTGTGTTTAGCCATAAACACGTCTTATTATTATGATCTCTGAGGTAGGGCAGAGTTGTTGCCCAGAGGTGGTCACAATACGATTCTGGTGAGACCTTAAGGACAAGATCAAGAATTCATGACTTAAGATCAACTAGGATCACAGGCTCCTGATAAACTAATGCTGGCTTTAAAGATCAAAGGTACAAGCTATACAATGATAATGAAAGTGTGCACTTTTCATCATTCAGTCAACATAAAACATGGCAACACCTCACACCACACACAAAAATAAACAATAAACAAGTAGGACCTAATGAAACTTACAAACTTTTGTACAGCAAAGGAAACCATAAACAAAACGAAAAGACAACCTATGGATTGGGAGAAAATATTTGCAAATTATGCGACCAACAAGGGCTCAATTTCCAAATATACAAACAGCTCATACAACTCAACATAAAAACAAACCAATCAAAAAATGGGTACAAGACATAAATAGACATTTCTCCAAAGAAGACATACAGATGGTCAAGAGGCACCTGAAAAGATGCTCAACATCACTAATTATTAGAGAAATGCAAATCCAAACTACAAAGAGGTATCACCTCACACTGGTCCGAATGGCCATCATTGAAGAGGTCTACCAATAATAAATGCTGGACAGGATGTGGGGAAAAGAGAACCCTCCTACACTGATGGTGGGAATGTAAATTGATGCAGCCACTATGGAGAACGGAATGAAGGTTCCTTAAAAAACTAAAAATAAAGTTAACGTGTGATCCTGCAATCCCACTCCTGGGCATATATTTGGAGACAACCATAGTTCGAAAAGACACATGCACCCCAATGTTCGCTGTAGCACTATTTACAATAGCCAAGACACAGAAGCAACCTAAATGTCCATCGACAGATGAATGACTAAAGAAGATGTGGTATATGTACACAATGGAATACTACTCAGCCGTAAAAAAGAATGAAATAATGCCATTTGCAGCAACATGGATGGACCTAGAGATTGTCACACTAAGTGAAGTCAGAGAAAGACAAATACCATATGATATCACTTATATGTGGAACCTATAATATGACACAAATAACCTTATCTATGAAACAGAGTCACAGACATAGAGAACAGATGTGGCTGCCAAGCACGAGGGGAAGTGGGGGACAGATGGATTGGGAGTTTGGGATTAGCAGATGCAAATTATTACATACAGGACAGATGAACAACAAGGTCCTACTGTATAGCACAGAGAACTATATTCTATATCCTGTAATAAACCATCATGGGAAAGAATGTATTTATTTGTGTAACTGAATCACTGCTGTATAGCAGAAATTAATACAACATTGTAAATCAACTACACTTCATTAAGATAATAAAATGCAAACAAAACAAACAAAAATCCATGGCAACTAACAGACAGACTGCTCCAAGGTTTGGTCCTGGGACTTTTCCTCCAAAGCTGTGAATTCCAGACATGTCTGAAATCATTACTGGAAAATTTTGCTAAAGCTGGTATTCACGGAACGGGGCTTTCCTCCAAAGAAACACTAAACGGAAGTTTGAGTTCTAGGTCCACCCCCAACTTTACATGGAATCGTCACCATATTTTGCACAAGTCCAGGTGTCCCCCACTCTCTCACATGCAACACAGGCTAGATGTCTATCCCAGAAACAAGCATTAAGGACACAGAGCAGTCCTGTCACCTTTCTCCTGCAGTTTTACGTTTACTCGCTTAAATGGCATTTCTGAGAAACCCCTTCAAGACTGGCTGCTCTCACTAACTACTCTTCATTCCCAGCAGCACAGATACGCACCCGAGGAGAGCAGAATGGAGAGGACTGGACGTGAAGTAAAACACTGGAAATGTATTTCCCATGGGTAACTTTCAGGACAGCAATTTTTAAGTGGGGCTGGATAACGCAGGGGTTGAGGACACAAACGCTGGACCCGGTGCGTCTGGTTCAAACCCCAGGACCCACCCAACCACCCCTGTCCCCAGAACTAGATGAAGGCAAATAACCATCTTTGTGCCTTAGAATTTCTATCTATAAAAACGACGATGATAAGAAAAGCTCCCTCAAAGCCTTGCTCTGAGAATTCAGAGGGTCAGTATGGGTAAAAGTCTCAAAAAGAGTGCCTGGTACAGTAAGCACTGCCCCTGTGCAGCGACGGTCATCACAAAAATCCTTCTGACCAGGACTGGCTCAACCCAGCGTAACTTAAGAAAAAGAGGCTGGAGGCCAGTCTACATTTTGTACAACAGTCTGTGTTAAAAGGTGAGTCATCTTGAGTTGAGTGTCCTGTGCGGAGCTTCAGCGCACGTCCTGAGCTGAAGTGTCGGCTCAGCCATTTCACGAGGAACTCTGGTCTGAAGGGCCGGTGGCAAGGCCTCTGCATGGGGCCCGCTATGAGCAAGTGAATCAGACTAATAAGCACAAAGGGGAAAAGGTGGATGGGCCAGGCGTGAAGTGAGATGGCCAGATTCATGTCCTTTCCAGAGGAAATGGGTACCCTCTCTAGCAACAGGAGGTGTGAAGAGAGAGGACCTTCAAGATGGCAGGGGAGTAAGACATGGAGCTCACCTTCCTCTCCACAAATATATCAAAAAATACATCCACATGTGGAACAACTTGTGCAAAATTACTGAATGTTGGCAGAAGACGTCAGACTTCCCAAAAGCCGTGTGGCCGACAGGGTCTTCGTGCTCTGGCCAGCTGTCAGGCCTGAGCCTCTGAGGTGGGAGAGCCAGGTTCCGGACACTGGACCACCAGACCTCCAGGCCCCAAGTAGTATCCACCGGCGAGAGCTCTCCCAGAGATCTCCATCTCAACACTAAGACCCAGCTCCACTCAATGAACAGATAGCTCCAGTGCTGGACACACTATGCCAAACAACTAGCAAGACAGGAACACAACCCCACCCATTAGCAGAGAGGTTGCCTAAAATCATAATAAGATCACAGACACCCCAAAACACACCACCGGATGCAGTCCTGCCCACCAGAAAACAAGATCCACCCTCAACCACCAGAACACAGGCACCAGTCCCCTCCACGAGGAAGCCTACACAACCCACCGAACCAACCTTACCCACTGGGAGCAGACACCAAAAACAACAGGAACTACGAACCTTCAGCCTGTGAAAAGGAGACCCAAAACACAGTAAGTTAAGCAAAATGAGAAGACAGAGAAACACACAGCAGATGAAGGAGCAAAGTAAAAACCCACCAGACCAAACAAATGAAGAGGAAATAAGCAGTCTACCTGAAAAAGAATTCAGAGTAATGAGCGTAAAGATGATACAAAATATTGGAAATAGATTGGAGAAAATACAAGAAACGTTTAACAAGGACCTAGAAGAACTAAAGAGCAAACAAATGATGAACACCACAATAAATGAAATTAAAAATTCTCTAGAAGGAATCAATAGCAGAATAACTGAGGCAGAAGAATGCATAAGTGACCTGGAAGATAAAATAGTGGAAATAACTACCAAAGAGCAGAATAAAGAAAAAAGAATGAAACGAATTGAGGACAGTCTCAGTGAGGACAGTCTCAGAGACCTCTGGGACAACATTAAACGCAAAACTTCCCTAATATGGGAAAGGAAATAGTCAATCAAGTCCAGGAAGCGCAGAGAGTCCCATACAGGATAAATCCAAGGAGAAACACGCCAAGACACATATTAATCAAACTATCAAAAATTAAATACAAAGAAAAATACTGAAAGCAGTAAGGGAAAATCAACAAATAACATACAAGGGAATCCTCATAAGGTTAACAGCTGATCTTTCAGCAGAAAGTCTGAAAGCCAGAAGGGAGTGGAAAGGCACATTTAAAGGGATGAAAGGGAAAAACCTACAACCAAGATTACTATACCCAGCAAGGATCTCATTCAGATTCGACGGAGAAATTAAAACCTTTGGAGACAAGTAAAAGCTAAGAGGATTCAGCACCACCAAACCAGCTTTATAACAAATGCTAAAGGAACTTCTCTAGGCAAGAAACATAAGAGAAGGAAAAGACCTACAATAACAAACCCAAAACAATTTTAAAAAATGGTAATAGGAACATACATATTAATAATTACCTTAAATGTAAATGGATTAAATGCTCCAACCAAAAGACACAGACTGGCTGAATGGATACAAAAACAAGACCCGTGTATAAGCCGTCTACAAGAGACCCACTTCAGACCTAGAGACACATACAGACTGAAAGTGAGGGGATGGAAAAAGATATTCCATGCAGATGGAAATCAAACGAAAGCTGGAGTAGCAATTCACATATCAGACAAAAGAGACTTTAAAACAAAGACTATTAGAAGAGACAAAGAAGGACACTACATAATGATCAAGGGATCGATCCAAGAAGAAGATATAACAATTGTAAATTTTATGCACCCAACATAGGAGCACCTCATTACATAAGGCAAATGCTAACAGCCATAAAAGGGGAAACTGACAGTAACACAGTCATAGTAGGGGACTTTAACACCCCACTTTCACCAATGGACAGACCATCCAAAATGAAAATAAATAAGGCAACACAAGCTTTAAATGACACATTAAACAAGATGAACTTAATTGCTATTTATAGGACACTCCATCCAAAAACAACAGAATACACTTTCTTCTCAAGTGCTCATGGAACATTCTCCAGGACAGATCATATCTTCGGACACAAATCAAGCCTAAGTTTAAGAAAACTGAAATCGTATCAAGCATCTTTTCCGACCACAACGCTATGAGACTAGATATCAATTACAGGAAAAAGCCTGTAAAATATACAAACACAAACAAACGGAGGCTAAACAATATGCTACTAGATAACCAAGAGATCAATGAAGAAATCAAAGAGAAAATCAAAAGATACCCAGAAACAGGGCTTCCCTGGTGGCGCAGTGGTCGAGAGTCCGCCTGCCGACGCAGGGGACGCGGGTTTGTGTCCTGGTCCGGGAGGATCCCGTATGCAGCGGAGCAGCTGGGCCCGTGAGCCATGGCCACTGAGCCTGCGCGTCTGGATCCTGTGCTCCGCGACGGGAGAGGCCACAACAGTGAGAGGCCCGCGTACCGCAAAAAGAAAAGAAAAAAAAAACACAAACAAATGACAATGAAAACACGACGACCCAAAACCTATGGGATGCAGCAAAAGCAGTTCTAAGAGGGAAGTTTATAGCAATACAATCCTACCTCAAGAAACAAGTAAAATCTCAAATAAACAACCTAACCTTACACCTAAAGCAATCAGAGAAAAAAGAACAAAAAAATCCTCAAAGTTAGCAGAAGGAAAGAAATCATAAAAATCAGATCAGAAATAAATAAAAAAGAAATGAAGGAAACGATAGCAAAGATAAATATAACTAAAAGCTCATTTTTTGAGAAGATAAACAAAATTGATAAACCATTAGCCAGACTCATCAAGAAAAAAGGGAGAAGGCTCAAATCAGTAGAATTAGAAATGAAAAAGGAGAAGTAACAACTGTCACTGCAGAAATACAAAGGATCATGAGAGATTACTGCAAGTAACTATATGCCAATAAACTGGACAACCTGGAAGAATGGACAAATTCTTAGAAAAGCACAACCTTCCGAGACTGAACCAGGAAGAAACAGAAAATATAAACAGACCAATCACAAGCACTGAAATTGAAACTGTGATTAAAAATCTTCCATCAAAGAAAAGCCCAGGACCAGATGGCTTCACAGGTGAATTCTATCAAACATTCAGAGAAGAGCTAACACCTATCCTTATCAAACTCTTCCTAAATACAGCAGACGGAGGAACACTCCCAAACTCATTCTATGAGGCCACCATCACCCTGATACCAAAACCAGACACAGATGTCACAAAAAAAGAAAACTACAGGCCAGAATCTCTGATGAACATAGATGCAAAAGTCCTCAACAAAATACCAGCAAACAGAATCCAACAGCACATTAAAAGGATCATACACTATGATCAAGTGGGGTTTATCCCAGGAATGCAAGGATTCTTCAGTATATGCAAATCAATCAGTGGGATACACCATATTAACAAATTGAAGGATAAAAACTATATGATCAGAAAAAGATGCAGTAAAAGCTTTTGACAAAATTCAACACCCATTTATGATAAAAACTCTCCAGAAAGTAGGCACAGAGGGAACTTACCTCAACATAATAAGGGCCATATATGACACACTCACAGCCAACATCGTTCTCAATGGTGAAAAACTGAAACCATTTCCTCTAAGATCAGGAACAAGACAAGGTTGTCCACTCTCACCATTACTGAACATAGTTTTGGAAGTTTTAGCCACAACAATCAAAAGAAAAAGAAATAAATGGAACCCAAATCGGAAAAGAAGTAAAACTGTCACTGTCTGCAGATGACATGATACTACAGATAGAGATCCTACAGATGCTACCAGAAAACTACTAGAGCTAATCAATGAATTTGGTAAAGTAGCAGGATACAAAATTAATGCACAGAAATCTCTTGCACTCCTATACACTAATGATGAAATATCTGACAGAGAAATTAAGGAAACCCTTTCATTTATCACTGCAACAAAAAAGAATAAAATACCTAGGAATAAACCTACGTAAGGAGACAAAAGACCTTATGACAAAAATTACGGATGACACAAACAGATGGAGAGATATACCATGTTCTTGGATTGGAAGAATCAATATTGTGAAAATGACTATACTACCCAAAGCAATCTACAGATTCAATGCAATCCCTAGCAAACTACCAATGGCATTATTCACAGAACTAGAACAAAAAATTGCACAATTTGTATGGAAGCACAAAAGAGCCCGAACAGCCAAAGCAATCTTGTGAAAGAAAAACGGAGCTGGAGGAATCAGGCTCCTGGACTTCAGACTATACTACATAGCTACAGTAATCAAGACAGTATGGTACTGGCACAAAAACAGAAATATAGGTCAATGGAAAAGGACAGAAAGCCCAGAGATAAACCCACGCACATTTGGTCACCTTATCTTTGATAAAGGAGGCAAGAATATACAATGCTTAAAAGACAGCCTCTTCAATAAGTGGTGCTGGGAAAACTGGACAGCTACATGTGAAAGAATGAAATTAGAACACTCCCTAACACGGTACACAAAAACAAACTCAAAATAGATTAAAGACTTAAAGCCAAACACTATAAAACTCTTAGAGGAAAACATAGGCAGAACACTCTATGACATAAATCAGAGCAAGATCCTTTTTGACCCACCTCCTAGAGAAACGGAAATAAAAACAAAAATATACAAATGGGACCTAATAAAACTTAAAAGCTTTTACACAGCAAAGGAAACCATAAACAAGATGAAAAGACAACCCTCAGAATAGGAGAAACTATTTACAAATGAAGCAACAGACAAAGGATTAATCTCCAAAATGTACAAGCAGCTCACGCAGCTCAATATCAAAAAAACAAACAACCCAACCCAAAAATGGGCAGAAGACCTAAATAGACATTTCTCCAAAGAAGATATACAGATTGCCAACAAGCACATGAAAGGTGCTCAACATCACTAATCACTTGAGAAATACACATCAAAACTACAATGAGGTATCACCTCACACCGGTCAGAATGGCCATCATCAAAAAAATCTACAAACAATAAATGCTGGAGAGGCTGTGAAGAAAAGGGAACCCTTCCTGCACTGTTGGTGGGAATGTAAACTGATACAGTCACTAGGGAGAAGAGTAAGGAGGTTTCTTAAAAAACTAAAAACAGAACTACCATAGGACCCAGCAATCCCACTACCGGGCATATATCCTGAAAAAACCATAATTCAAAAGGAGTCATGTGCCATAATGTTCACTGCAGCACTGTTACAATAGCCAGGACATGGAAGCAACCTAAGCGTCCATCGACAGATGAATGGATAAAGAAGATGTGGCACATATATACAGTGGAATGTTACTCAGCCATAAAAAGAAACGAAATTGAGTTATTTGTAGTAAAGTGGATGGACCCAGAGTCTGTCATACAGAGTGAAGTAAGTCAGAAAGAGAAAAACAAATGCTGTGTGCCAACACATATATATGGAATCTTAAAAAAAAAAAAAAAGGATCTGAAGAACGTAGGGGCAGGACAGGAACAAAGACACAGACGTAGAGAATGGACTTGAGGACACGGGGAGGGGGATGGGGAAGCTGGGACGAAGTGAGAGAGTGGCATGGACATATACACACTACCAAATGTAAAACAGCCAGCTAGCAGGAAGCAGCCGCATAGCACAGGGAGATCAGCTCGGTGCTTTGTGTCCACCTAGAGGAGTGGGATAGGGAGGGTGGGAGGGAGATGCAAGAGGGAGAGGATATGGGGACATACGTATATGTATAGCTGATTCACTTTGTTATACAGCAGAAACTAACACACCATTGTAAAGCAATTATACTCCAATAAAGATGTTAAAAAAAAAAAAAAGGTAAGTCCTTAATTAACAGCTTAGAGAGCCAAAGGGCAGATGAAGGTGAGCCTGGGAATTACCTCGGCCGTTCTCAGGCTCCAGTGTTTCCCTGCTGTCCTGTGTCCGCCCAGGGTCCCCCGAGGCAGGCTTGGGGGCCGCCACGCCCACTGGGGGGAAAGGGCCCGGAGCAGGGGTCGGTACGGGTTGGCGGGGGCGGTAAGGCATGCCTGCCGGGCACCCCCGCGAGGAGAGCTGCTGCATGGCGAGCATCTCTGGGCTGTCCAGCATGGAGTCCCCGCCCTGCATTCCCCGCAGGGCTTGGGCCGGTGCTCCAAAGAGAGAACCTTGCGTTGGTGCTGGAGGGGGCTGGAACCGATGTCCACCAGGTTTACAGGGTGGTCGCATGTACCCCGAAGAAGGAACTCCGTGAGGTAGGAAGCCTGATTGTTCTGGCCACTGGTTTGGGGGGAGGGGGGGTGCTCTCATCACTCGGGAATCTATCATGTGACCCAGACGAGGCTGGTGAGAGGGTCCTGGCCCCAGGGGGGGCTTCTCATCTGGCCCCAAGGGTCCTGGATTTGTAGCACCGTGATTCCCATTCCAGACTGCAGAGTGTACTCGACTCAGGTACTTGTAGGATCGGTACATGTGGCTGGGAGGGATTTCTGAACTCTCAGGAAAGGCTGGGGGGCGGGCCGGAGCCCCACCGTGCCTGGGAGGGATAAAGCCTGGCTGGAAATGAGCTGGAGGATACATAGTCCCCTCCTGGCTGGGGCTGCTCATGTGCCCGAGCAGCGAGGGTCCAGGACGCGATCCCATGTCAGCAAGGGGCGCTAGGCCCCCACACACCGGCTTCTCGTCAGGCGGGCCTCGGTGATGGTTAATTCCAGCTGGAGGCTGGCAACAAGAAAAGAGATGTGCTTACCACAAGGTAATGGGAAATTACAAGTCCAATTTAACCTGGGGAGAGACTGTATTTCTGAAACGCACCTTTGCACCTGTGCATGCTGAGCCGTTTGCTTACCTGCACTGCTAAAGGCTGGGGATGCTGTCCAGGCCCGCCGGGGTGTGGCTCTGGGGCTCCAGAGGAGACACGGATGGTGGCAGGATCCGACCCTCGGAGAGGACAAAACGTTCCCTGTCCTGCTGGCCTCTGGAGGGCACGGAGCAAAGGCAAGAAGAAGAAGAGAAGAGGCACACTCTTCGCATCCGGAAGACGAATGTCCTGCTGGAGGACAAGGCCGCCACCTGCTCCGTGCGCACACTCACCACAGGAGGGCCCAGAGCAGGGGCTTCCCGTCCTCGTCTCTCCCCAGAGCCGCCTCCGCCAGTGTTCTCCCCAACTGCGCCCCTCGTGAAGGGTTCACTTACATACTGTATGTACCTCTGTGCCTTGAACTTAAAAGGGGTTAATAATGCCCGTGTTGAGAATGTGTGGTTCAAATGATTTCGGAAAAGAAGGATTTAAAATGAAGGAAGGATAGAGGAAGGGCAGACAGGGAGAAGAGAGCACCCATAAGCAGGAACACCATGTTGGGAGAGGATCTATTGAGAAGGCTTCACGCCCCGCCCCAGCCCTCAACCAGGGGAACCCACAATGGGACAAAGCTGTTCCTCACCAGCTGGCTTGCGAGGGGCGCCTGGCTGGGTCCGCCGTAATGCAGGGGTCCAGGGAGGCTGCGGCTGTTCGGGGTGCCCACCTCGCCAGGGAGCTGCGCAGAGCCGCTGCTCTCACCGGCCGCAGAGGATGCGGCGCGGCGCCCAGGGGGCAGCGACTTCCCCCCGTTCTCCGCAGGCTGCTGCTTCCGGCCAGGCGCCTCCGAGTCCCGGGAGCGGGTGCACACGTGGCTGCGTGCAGCCCGACCACGCCTCTTCTCCCGCTTCTCCTCCTCTCTGACCCAGAATTCTTCGTCCGTGTCCCCATCCTCACCAGGAAAATGCTTCAGCATCGCACGGTGGAAGCACCTCTCCAGGTTGTCCGACATCTTGGTGTACTCTGCGGGGGACCGAGGCCTGAGCCCCGCTGGGCAGGCCCCCAGACCTCCGCCCACAAACATGCAACGGGGCAGCCCCGGGCTCGACTGCGCGGCTGCCTGGGCTGCAGCGCTCCCTACGTTGTAGGGCTACGGACATGAGACCAGAACAAGAAACCAGGACACGGTTTTCTGGTCTCCAGCCTGTGTGGCTGGGACAGTGAGCCCAGTACCCCAAACCGGTAAAAATTGAATTCTTTAATGCCAAACCGCAGAAACATTAAGTACAATCACTGAATCCGTCTAGTAAAAAAAAGAAGGCATCGTGAGCTCCAGTTTCAGCACCTGGCGCGACACGGGCTGTGTCATCAGAGGTCTGCTGTGTGATGCAAAGGTGGCTGACGGTGGGGGCCGAGGACAAATAGACACAGGCGGGCCTGGGGGAAGACGAGGACCCGGGCCGCCAGCCACCGCTGCCCCTCTGGCCGGATGGGGCGGGACAGGGCCCGGCACGCCCATCCCACAGCGTTAACACACATTCTCCTGATGGTCCCCAAGGAAGGTCTGAATCTCTGGAAGGTGTGTTTCTAAAAGAGGGGGCGTGTTACTCTTGGTCCTACTGGTGTGCCAGTGTGAATCCACAGCCACCCCTCTTGTACTTACCGCTACTTTCCCCGTTATATTTTCGACAGTTCCTGAACATAGTCTTCATGTCATTCACAAACTCTTCCTTGGAACAGTATAAACCTCCATTCAGTTTCTTCTCCATGCTTGAAATATCCATGGGGACCTACAACAGGACATGTTAATTATCACAGGCTGGAGAACACAGCATCCTGCAGGTCCTGCGAGGCGGAGCGATCACAGCATTAGGAGCTGCTCAAAAGCCTGGGGTGCACCCAGCAACCCTGACCCTTGAGGGGCAGCAGGTGAACTTACACACAACAACACAGACCACTAAAGATGCACACACCACAGTCGCGTACAGCTGACAAGGCCACCTCTACCTTAATAATCTGGTAATAGTTAGGGGCATACGATTCATCCACTGGTTCCAAAAAGGGCCAGGAATCCTTGTGAGCCTTCACCACGTCCAGAACTGAGGGCCAAAGAGGAGAGCTGGGTTAACACACCGACGTGGGAACACGCTTAGGCAGAACACGGGAGCTGAGTGTGGGAACTGACCTTTGTACATGGCAGTGAAATCATCGTCCAGCTCAAAGCTGTAAATCAAAAAAGAAGAGATTAGCGGTAGCCGAGACCACCTTCTCTCCTCGGAGCTCTTGCTCCAACCTCACACACAGCTCACTTGCGCCCAGGTTTGGAATAGTCCCAGTACCCCTTTGTTAAGGAAAGTCTGTAACACTGAGAACGCTCCTGACAATGCGACGAGGATGAGGGCCAGCATACGTCAGCCGAACAGGACCACCACCTTTTCCATCTACAAAATGATGGTTTCGTGGAACTCATTTATGATTCTGTAACGTTCGTGATTTAATAGCACACTCTGCCAGGTTTTACTCTACTCTAGTAAGTACTTCTGTGATCTAAAGAATAATAACCCAGCAAGTCAGACAGCAGCGGAAGGAACTCACGAGCACTGGCCACGACCCTCACAGAGGGCTGTTCTAAGGACATGACGAGGCAGGCTTGGGGCCACTCAACACTCACAGGTCTCTCGTCCTCTTCTCTTCCCGCGGAGGGGAGGGAGGGTCCAAGTGGGACAACTCGGGCGGGAGCGCCTTGCCCTGAGCCAGCAGCCAGGCCCTCTCTTCCCTGAGCTTCCTTCTCTTGGCGCGATCTGCGTGAACACAAAGCACAGGTGCGTCAGGGGCTCCAGAGGGGCAGGCGTCTGTTCTGAGAGAAGGAAACAGATCACCAAACGCTGACTTCTGCTCCCTTTGAGTCCTCTCTTTGCTAATTTGGATGGTGCTAGGGATGCAATGCTTTGTGGACCCACTTCCTCTTAGTCCTACCAAGTTCAGGTCGGGGGGTGAGGGAGGAAGGCGGCCCCGGATGGGGACGGGGAAGGCCAAGAGAGAAGGAAAGCAGAATTACAGGGACAGAGAAGAGCAGAGCACTGACTGAGGGTCACCCTCTCTGACAACCCCAAGGCCTTCCTAACTTTCCAGCAAGAAGACAACATCCCTTTTTAGGACCAGACCTCAATCCAAACACACCCAGGACGGTACAAGCCCATCGCAGCTCTCGCACCAGCTATCCTTGCTCGGCGGCCACCCCACCTACGGCAGCTGGTGCACCCTCGCCAGTGCAGGAGGAGGGCTCCTGCGAGCGAGGGAAGAAGCCAGCTGGATGGGCCAGGAGCTGGAAGAGGGAGGGCGTTTTCCGGCTCCCAGCTGTGGCCACAAGAAACATACTTGACACTGCACTGCTGGCCTGCCTGGCCCTCGTGCCAGCAGAGCGGAAGAGAGGCAAGGAATGCAGAACACCATCAGAAGGCAAGACCCAACGACGGAGAGAGAGGCCCAGGAAGGTGCCCGGTGGGAGCACGACACAGCCCTAAACCTGCAGACAGCGTGCTCTCACCAAGCTCCCTCTGTTCCTACTTCATGCTCATTTATAAATAAACTTTTAAGTGTAAGAGAATCTGTATCTGCTTTAATTAATCAGAGGCACTTTGCTATAAACGACGTTCAAAACTGTTTTTTAACAAAGAGAATGATTTCAAGCTTAAAGAAAAGTATAACCAAATTAACGAATATCCACATACCAAGCTGTCAAATTTTAACGTTAGGACTCTGATTCTTTGCATCGTAAGAACCACCCTTTCGAGAGAGGCGCCTTCCTGAGCACGGGTGAGCCCTCCAGGGTCCACGGCAGCAGGGACCTGCCAGGTGCACTGTGGAGCCTTTAAAGGCTCACAGCTACTCCTTCACAAGTGATGCAAGCGAGCTACCTCACTCTCACATTGAGGGGTAAATTTTTAGCATTTTTTCTAACCTGATACATATGACGTGGAATTCTGATGTTTCTGTTTGCCTTTTCCTGATTGGAATGACACAACGTATTTTCATGTTTATTATCCTCTTCTGTGAATACCCTGCTTATATACTTTGCCTTTTATTCCCTGTGGGTTGTTGGATTTCTAAATGATTTGGAGAAGTGCTTTTAAATAATGTGGATAAGAAGTCTTTATTAAAACTATCTTCTTCCATACCTGATTTGTCTTTTCACTGTTTAAGGTGTTTTAGTCATTTGTAAATTTTAAACAATTAATGTCATCGAGTATATCAATCTCCTTCCCCTGTAGTTTGTGCTTTTGTTACTTAAATTCTTTCTGTCCCAGCATCTTAAAGACCCTCACCTATGTTTTCTTCAAAAAGCTTTTGGCCTTTAGTCCATCAGGCGACAATGGTGCTGGCAGCGCCTGATGAGGAACCAGGTCTGTTTCTGGCTGTTCACTGCCAGGTCTCACTACCCATCTCCAAGCCAGTAACACTCTCCCACATTCACGGCGGCTTTTATTCTGTTATCTGGTAGAATGAGTGTCCCGAACATATCGATTTTAAAAATTATCTTGGCTATACTTGGCCCTCTGCTCTTCTGTACGAATTTCAGGAACATAAAATGATTTATTTAATATTTAACATCAAATACTGAGTCAAGGTCAAACTTACCCACTTGTTCAATAATTTTAAGTTGGTTTGTTCAAATCAAATCCAAAAAGGTCCAGACAGTGCATTTGGTTGGTATGTCTCTTAAATTTAGTGGAATGTGTAACAGTGTCCTCTCCAATTTATCTGGTGGAGAAATTGGGTCATTTTGTCTTGGTAGAATTCCCCACGTTCCGGATTTAGCAAGTGGCATTCTCATCACAGTGTTAATGTGCCCTGTGGTAGTTCTATTGAGGTCCTTTGACCAGACAAACGGGTGTGTTTCTTGGCAATGTTATTACATGGGTGATGCTTGTACTTCCTTTTTCATCACCTCAGCAGACACAATATATGGTTACCTTTTCTTCTGTGGTGTTAAATTCCATTAATGTTTACCTGATCCTTCCATTATAAAGTTCCTATACTTAAAGATCAAACACAGTTCCAAGATAGAAGTAAACTGTAGAGAAAATTATTTGTGTGATTGTTTTCTCAATAATTCCAAGGTATATACCTAGTACTACGTGTAAATATATATGGGACAGAAGTTAACTCAACACATGTAATTGGATGCTTTAGGGCTGAGCGCACACACACACACACACACACACACACACACACACACACACACACACACACACACACACACACACACAC